CCGACTCTCCATGCGGGGACATGAGAGAAGCCTCCCACAAGGATGGTAAAACATCCAGGAGTCCCCTGGGCAACATCTTTGCAGATGGCCAATTCTCTCACACCAGAAATGACTTGCAGTTTTTCAAGTTGCTCCTGACACACACAAAAAATGTGCACCTTCAAAATTGTGATGCACATCAGATAAATAAATAAATACAACACATTTATACAAGCCACAATATGGTATTATTAGATTACAATACAATATAGTTATATAATGCCATCTGCTCTAAAGGGCTTTGATTTCAACCATAACACCCCCCCCCCTCTTTTCTGGGACATCTGCAATACAAAAAAAATACTGTATTTCCTTTTTTCTCAATCCAGATAAATTTAAGTTTTCAGCAGCAAGAGCGATTGGCATAAATGAAGGAAAACTGGTCTTAACTGATAGAATGGTTTTGCCTTTTGTATTAGCAGATTTGAGTAAGTCTTACCTTTTCTGTTAGCAGATTTCAGATCTTACATTTGCACCTAGACAACGTATTTGTTGTTAAATTATACCAAGGGATCTCTGTCTGTCTTCTACCTGTTGACACTCCATATAAAAGTGTTGCCTGTCTGAGTCATGCTAAATTACTATGATATAAGAGTACTTGAATTTCTTGATGTATTTTCCAGAAATGAACATTCTTTCCAGAAATGGCTTAATGCCTAAACTTTGAATTATCATAAATTGGTATTGTTCTACAAAACTCTTTTTCAAAGAAAAATTGGAAGCTGTCATAACATCATCATTGGTGATCCCTCATGTCTGAGTATGATTTTCTTCCAATTGTAGGGTCTTTGCTGTGGATCCATAGGTGATTGTAGAGACCTATTCTTGACTTGCATGTTCTTCCACAGTGAGGACCTTTGGTTTCCAGGTGGAAGGCGGTCATGGTCAGGGTTAGCTTGACGTGCCTTCCTCTTGATATGTTTCTCCCTCCATTTGTGCTTCTTGAAACTCCACAGCATTGTTGGTCACAGTTGACCTCTAGATAGAATGCTCAAGGGGCAGGGCTTCCCAATTCTCTGTGTCTATGCCAGTTAGCTTTAAGTGCATCTTTAAATCACTTTTTCTGTCCACCAACTTTCTGATTTCTGTTCTTGAGTTGAGAGTAGAGCAACTGCTTTGGGAGAAGGTGATCATGGCCAGCCCAGCGAAGTTGTTGGTGACCTTCAATGCTGATGGTTTTTGCTTCTTTCAGAACAGTGACATTTGTCCATCTGTCTTTCCATTAGATTTGCAGGATTTTTTAAGAGGCAGTGCTGATGGAATCGTTCCAGAAGCTGAGTGCAATGTCTGTAGGCGGTCCATGTTTTGCAGCCGTTTGCAGGGTTGGGGGTCAATAGCTTTATAGAAAATAGCACCTTGGTATCCTAATGAATGTCCTGATCTTCACTCTCTGTTTTATTCAGAAAAATGCTTCACTTGCAGAGCAGAGATGGTGTTGTATGTCAGTGTCAATGTTGACTGTTGCAGAGAGGTGGTGTCGAGGTAGCAGAAATGGTTAACATTTTCTAATATTACACTATTAAGCTGTATTTCTGGCATATCACAGCTTCTATATCACAGAGGTGAGGACTATGCCGGGAATCATCTCTGGCTGTTTCCTCACATTTCAGAGGAAGATGATCCAACAATTGGTATCTATGGCAACTTATCATCTTCGTTTAGCTAACAACTGTGTCTGGATGAAACCTGGTTGATAGGTTTCAGGCCCAAATTCTCTTTTTACAAACAATACCCACCAATTCCATACCAAGGGCATAAAATGAGGGCCCCCTTTGCCTCTCCCCACATAGGTATCTCTTTACAGTATGTTAAAAAGAAGGGAATAACATTCTAGACTGATCCCAGTTTTGTGGCTTCCAAATTATCAGCTATTGTCTTCACGCAGACAATCTCATGTTAGTGAAAAATATTATTCCAAGCCTCTCTTAGCAAACAGAACACATTCTAGTTTTTAGCCTGGAAACTTCCAGTCACTTCTGGTTTCATTGGAAAGGGTGGTGTGGCTGAGGGTTTGGGCAGAATTGTAAAATGGCCACTAGGCCCTCTGTAGTTGTCAACTCTGGTTTAAACAGAAAGGTAATTTCACTTTTGATTAATGTGAAAAGCAAAGTGCTATTTTTACATAACTGGATTTACAAAGAACTACATTTGATGTATCTTTGAGTTGTTTGTCAACTTATGTTGACACTATTAATTTCACAGGGTTTTCTTAACCAAAGAACGTTCAGATGTAGTTGTTCCAGTTCCTTCCCCTCAAAGATAGAATAAAGCACCTATTGCTGTGGTTGGTCCCCATCAAAATACTAACCAGAGATTTCCCTGCTTAGCTTTCAAGATCAGACATGATAGTGCTATGGAGTCCTGGGAGTTGTAGCTTGGTGAGGGACTAGAACCCTTTGACAGGACATGTTAAAAACTTTGTAAAACTTCAACTTCCATAATCCTATAGCACTGAGCTGTGGCCGTTAAAGTAGTGCCAAGATGCATTAATTCTACAGTGTAGATGCACTCACAGTTTGCTTAAAGTCTACCTGTGCTGACCTATATTTGTCAATAAAAAGTGTTTCATATATGTGGATTAATTCATGAATGAGACCATTGCTCTTCCATGCCCTCCAGAGAACGTCAACATTCACTTCATATTTCCAAAACTTTTCAAGTAGTCAAATGCTGAGGTGGAAAGCCCTTAAGTCTTTAAGTAGGCCAAGCCATTCTTCCCTCTCTTGGGTATAGAGGTTATACTAACTGACAAAAGAACAGGGGATTCACTTTTGGAAGGACTAACAGTTTTCTGAGCTCGATTATGGTGTATGTTTAAACTTTTCATAAAAGACCTTCAGTTGGGGTTTAATAGTGATGTAGCCAGGTTTTCGGACAGTGCCAAATTACAGAGCCATCTAATGTTCTCAAATCCATCTTTATACACAAACAAGAAAGACAGAAACTCTTGGACAGTTTCTAGACTGTCCTGGCTCTCTCAGATCAAGCAGTGTCCTATGAGTCTTATATATGTAAAATATTTAGGATGTGTAACTCCATGCAATATTCAGTGCAGCTAATTCATCTCAATTCTACATCTTTTAAAACGTGGAATTAGGATGGGGCTCACAATCATGGATTGTTGTTCTGAAAGCTAACATTTCCCATACTTCAAGAAAGCACAACCCTGTAATTTTGGATAATGGTGTTAGTATTTGAAAATCTACAAAAAAAGAGTTAAAATTATGATTTTTTCATGAAAATATAATTGCAGTGCAGCACAACCTGCAACTCTGAATTGTATGCCCATTCTCTGCATCAGGAACATTTAGAGCCATGCTTCACAGAAGGTTTAAGGGACCCTTACTTACTAAAAAAAATAAGAGTAACATTATATTAGGCCAACTCAGTGATGGATTCTTCATCACAGGACATGCTGGCTTTCTGTTTGAAGAGCATTTAGATGATAGGGTTGTTGTAGGTTTTGCGGGCGTTATGGCCATGTTCTAGAAGCATTTTCTCCTGACGTTTCGCCTGCATCTGTGGCAGGCATCCTCAGAGGTTGTGAGGTCTGCTGGAAACTAGGAAAATTGGGTTTATATATCTGTGGAAGGTCCAGGGTGGGAGAAAGAACTCTTGTCTATTGGAGGTAGGTGTGAATGTTTCAATTGGCCACCTTGATTAGCATGGCCTGACAGTTTTTAGGTGTCGCTAGTTACTGCTTGGGGGAATCCTTTTTTGAGAGGTGATTAGGTGTTCCTGATTGTTTCCTCTCTGGAGTTTCCCGGTGTTTGAATTTTGTTCTTTATTTACTGTTATAATTTTAGAGGTTTTTTTTAATACTGGTAGCCAGATTTTGTTCATTTTAATGGTTTCTTCCTTCTGTTGAAATTGTCCACATGCTTGGTGTGGCTTCACAGAGTTTAGGTGTGGCTTGTTACTGCCTGTGAAAATCAACAAAGGATTTTTCCAGGCAGTAACAAGCCACACCTAAAAGCTGTCAGGCCATCAAATGCTAATCAAGGTGGCCATTTGAAACATTCACACCTACCTCCAACAGACAAGAGTTCTTTCTCCCACCCTGAACATTCCAGAGATATATAAACCTCACTTGCCTAGTTTCAACAGGCCTCACAACCTCTGAGGATGCCTGCCACAGATGCAGGCGATATGTCAGGAAAGAATGTTTCTAGAACATGGCCATGCAGCTCAAAAAACCTACAACAACCCAGTGATTCTGTCCATGAAAGCCTTTGACAATACATTTAGATGATATTTTATCATGACAAACCAGTCTGCCTTACAATCAGAGAGCAGTGGGCAGTTTTAACAAATAATCTTTAAAAAATCAATATGAAATACAATTAATGAAACAATGCTTACAAATTAACACCACTGTAAAATGTTCCTATAATGTATATCAATGGGCACCCAGTGTTATTATCTATTTCAATCAAATGCATTATTTCATATATCACCATGAATGGTTGGTGCTTGATGGGTTTTTTTGTTTTTGTTTTATTAATATAAGAAATAAATGCACACCAAGTAAAGTTACTTTTGCCCATGTCTTCATACAGTTTTTGATTCTTGGTGTTGATAGTTCCAATGGTGGTAAGCCTCAAATGTTTGCATACTATAAGACGATGCTCAGTGTTTCGTGATTTCCATGATATTAACTGTCTAGCTGCCAATAGCTTTTGATAGCTAATATGTAATAGATGAATTGTCTTATCAGTCTTCACAATACTAACATCCTTAGCTTCAGCTCCTCATTATTTACTATAGTTTAAATAGGGACAATGCTTAAGAACTTTCTATATGGACATAAATTGTCATTGAATTAATATTTAAATTGTATATTTTTACTTGGTACAAATAAAACAGTTTACAGTGGTATAGTCTACATAATGTTTTCCAAAAAAGAGAATTAATCACACTCAGCAATGTAAATTAATAATGCATCATATTACCAATTCATATAGTATTGCAATATTTTATTGCAAAATTTGAAACTTTTCATAAATAATGTGTTTTTATACTTCCACATATTGAAGTCTAATAAATCCAGGACATTAGAATAAAAAAGAATACAAAATTAAGTAAATTGTTGCTTCAAATAAGAATTCAGTATAAAAGTATTAAAGATAGTAACAACCTGAAGTTTCCTTCAACATTTACATAAATATATAGTTACTTTTAAACAAATCTGGTTATTCTGTGTTTTTTTGAGGTGTTACTTTAACAGTTACGGTTTGGTGCTGTTTCTTCACAGGAGATGATGAAACCCATTCTTCTGGACTACAAAGAAAATTACACAAGTCATTTAAAAATGAAAATAATTCAAATTAGTTCTAAAGTACCATTTGCCGTTTTGCTATATGCTGCACATACTGTTTATTAATAATTCAAAACAGCAATACTAACTCTTATATATAGAGAGGATTTTGAAGAACAAACAGAATATAGTCTGTTTGAAGATCATGGATCAAATCAAACTAACTTCTTGAAATTGGGAGGAAATTAACCAAGATTAAAGTACATATAATTGCCATCCACCATATTGTCAAAATATTGTTTTGCTTTGTATTTTGGTCTCTATCTAGAGGAAAGAAACTTTTTTAATGTGGAATTCCTTTCAGAAGCAAATGAGTCTAACAGTAATGTATCACGCAGTCCGTCCTACTTTTAACATAATCAGTTGTTTCAGAGTGTTTCCCAGATGTAACTATCTAAAGCCATTTTCTCTACACACAACTGAGATTCCTCAGAATTGCCTCCGACATGGCACGTTTTCCCTTGAATCAAAGATGGGAATCATCTGGGGGTCATTTTTTAAACCTCAGGATGATTTAAGGAGAGCTACATCAGCCCTTCCATGTGGAAAGTAAGCTATTAGTGAGGCGGGAGAACCATTCTGTAAAGATGTCTGTAAATATTCAAAACAAGAACAATCTGTTCAATCTACTTCAGGCATGGGCAAACTTCGGCCCACCAGGTGTTTTGGACTTCAACTCCCACAATTCCTAACAGCCGGTTGAAGTCCAAAATACCTGGAAGCCCCAAGTCCAAAATACCTGGAGGCCCAAAGCATGCCTGGTCTACTTTAATATGTATCTGAAAAACAAACCTATACAATCCTTTTGTTGCTTCTCTCCGCATTCTTTTTGGTGGACTTGGACTGTCCGTTGCATCATTTTCTTCTGGGGGAAGCGATGATGTGGTGCACTGAGCTGATGAAGTCATACCTATACAGATCGTGAAAGTAATATTTCAAACACTACTCATTACAGAAAAAAAACCCCTACAACCCAACTCTGTTGCTGCTGTGTGTTTGTAAGATGCCCTGAGTCCCCTTCAGTTGTAAGTCGCCTTGAGCCCCCCTCGGGGTAGAGAAAGGCGGATATAAATAAGGTAAAGAAATAAATAATAAATAAACCGAACTTGGTTAATGTGCATCACAGTGAACATGTTTTCGGAAATAAAACTTATTCCACAATTTCTAAAAGTTAAGATTGCATGATAGCTAATGGATGTGCCACAATGGAGACAACCAATCCCTTTCAGATTTTAACCCAAATGTTTATGGCAGCTTGAAATTGAACAGGAGTTTTGGCAATGCTGACCCTAGTTTGGAACTAGCACAATTCCTGCTCAACTCTGGTCAGTGGTAAAAGGAGTGGGATCCAAATGCACAAGCCATCATTGTTTTAATTTACCTTGCTGAATTTCTTTTAATCTGCCTTGCTGAATTTTCAATTCTGACAAAGCTCATGCTACTCTCTGCTGCCCACATGTCCTGGCAGTATGTATTATGAGGCCTTAGCACCTGCACATTTTTTAAGATCTACTAATTTCAAAACATTTCACATAATACAGTTACCTTGTTATACCATCTATTTCCAGATCTATACTCCTCCCATTCCCACCCAATCATTCACATCGTGTTATATACAATATAGCTGTCAGTTTTATTCTACTGTTCTAGTTTCATCCATTACATTAATAGTTGTAATACATTTCCTGATTGTATATCCACAGTCTTTCTTGATCATCTGGTGGTGTGAATTCATTTTACATATAGCTAACGAATGGCTTCCATGTAATAACAAAAAGATCTTTTATTCCTCCTTTTGCTAATATTTGTTAGCTTTTCCAATAGTCTTAGAGCCCATACCCTATTTAATCAATTCTTTATTGTGAAATTCTCTAGCTTTTTCCAAGTTATGACTATTTTGAGCCTCACAGCATAAAACATGAGTGATAAAAGATTTTGGTATACCAAATCCTTATTCTTATTTTCATTTTTGAAAATGAAAATAAGCACCTGCTCATTTGTTGATGGAATTGTTCTCTCCCCATTCTTGAATATTTTTGTACATAGACAGAGGATTACCACATGTAAGGTTCTTTTGCTGCCCTGTTCTGCCTATCATTAAATCTCACACGAACAACTCACTTGAGAACTATTGGTTATGTTAGTTAGAAAAAGGTATTGATTTAATATCACAAATCAAAATATATTGAAGAAAATACCAAACAAGTATGTCTATAACAATATTTTCTTAATCACAGCAACTGCAGCTACGGATTGGATCCAGACCGGTAGGTTACATACCTGTGACCATCTTTCTTCGAGTGGTGCTCTGTGAATTCACACACGTGGAGTGTCTGTGTCTGCGTAGGCCCCAACAGAAACTTCCCAGGTGTAAAACTTTCAAGTTTTGGCGGTAACCCTGCCCAGCTCGCTGCAAAATCTGCAGTTCCTACGCCACAAGGCAGTGAGAAAGGAGGAGGTTTGTAAGAGGGGAGGCTGGGCGGGTTTGTGTGAATTCACAGAGCACCACTTGAAGAAACATGGTCACAGGTATGTAACTTAACATTTTTCTTCGTGGTCTCTGAATGTACACATGTGGAAACTAGCAAGCTAAGGTGCCGGAAGCGGGAAAGACAAACCCATCCCTTTTTGAAAAAATCAACAATAAGGACTACCAGTCCATGAAAACAGTGGATAGAAAAAAACCTCAAGCCCAAAGGGCTGTACAGTTCAAGCATAAGTGTAAGCATAAGCACACACATTACAGAACGAAGTCCAGCAACAATCCACTGGATACGGTATCGAGATATAAAGAACATCAAGAAGAACATCACAATGTCATACATAACAACATTGGGCACTCATGAGAAAAACTGTTGCATAACACAAACAGTGAAACGACCCTGAAAGAGCATAAAGCAGGCATAAGGCATAGCATTCGAGAGCAATATATGACAGAATGACGTAGTTCACCATTCTGGCAAGAAGAAGGGCCCCAGAGTAGAGCTTTCTACCGACTGCATCAAATCTTTTTCCCTCTCGAGCAGCTGGAGTCGACGACTGTCTGCCTTAAGACTGTGCCGCTTTCACGAGCACCGAGTTTGGGTCGGGTTGGTGTTTCAGCCACTCCAAGCCTTCATCATCCGTACAATACCAGGCCTTTATTATATTAGAGGTGGGCGGTATCGATGATGGAGTTTTCCATGATGCCTGAATAACGTCGAACAAGTATGGAAGGAATGGCAAGAGAGGAGCTGGCAGAGCTTCTGACTGGACCCTTTTGAAGACAGGGTCAGTAGCCACCTTTGACGTTTGTTTGATTTCAAGTCCCAGAGTGTCCGCCATGTGGACCATCTGATTGGCAAATGCCCTCACATTATCAGTTGGCAAAGGAGGGTCAGTCTCATAGGCGTCATGGGTTGGTGATAGGTCGATGCCGAGCGACAAGACCGAGCCAGAGTGAACAGATTCTGGGGCATCTTTGTCCTGTTCTTCATCCTCTGATTGAATAGGTGAAGAGAAGGACGGTGGAGGAGGTGGGCGAGGCGAAGATGGCAGTGGTGGCTGCTTTGACGCCGAGGCTCGAGCTAAACAGGCAGTCTGCCTCCCTTTTTCTGGAGTAGAGGTTGCTGGAAAGAGCTCTTGTCTGACAAAAGGTTGAGCAGACGGGAGCTGCTGTGCGACCCGGACCATGGTAGGTACTGACTGAACCGGAGATTCTGGAAGCTTCTGAAGAACAGGTTCGGCAGGGTCCTCCTCCAGAGAGGGTTGCGATGGACGAAGAGATTGAGCCGGAGGGACCAGGGAAGAATGACCGGACGAGGTGGCCGAAGAGGCTGTTGTGGTCTTTGAGGATGTTGAAGAAGATGACTGGGGAAGAGTTTTCATTTTTGCTGGAGGCTGAGAAGAGGCTGGCCCCAAGAGACTTCCCTGGAGTCGGTGGGACAAGGGGTGAGGAAGAGGCCGCTTCTGCTAGGTGGTATTCCTCATGGGCCCTTTTGAAGGCAATCTGCACGGCTGTAGAAGATGGTGGTGTTGCAACAGTCGACCTCGTGGAGCTAGCAGACGCTACCGAACTTGCAGCCAATGATTATTGAGGCTGCATGGTCGCCGTTGTAAAGAGTGCATGGCTGCTTCAACTGCCTCGTCTGCCTTGAGGATTTTGAAGTCCCTGACATCGCTGAGTGAGGTTTTGTTGGTGGCTACGCTCTCGCTGAAATTGAGGGCATAGAAGAAGAAGGCCCCGCCGTGGTCAATGCCGAAGGAGCCAAAGTTTGTTGGTAAAGAAGATATCTCAGACGAGCAGAAATTGATTCTTCCTATTTTGAGCCGTCAACGATTGGCAATGACGACAGGAAGAGATGATGTGGGCTTTGCCGAGACAAGAAAGGCATTTCAAGTGCTTATCAGAGTCAGGAATCTTCTTAGAACACTGTGAGCAGAGCTTAAACCGCGTTGTAGACATAGCGAGGAAGTTCTGATGCGAGCTTTGCGGCGGAAAAACAGGAACTGCTGAGCGTGCACGCGGGGGGCGCCTTTTATGCCCTGCAAGGGACTGGGCGGGGTTACCATCAAAACTTGAACGTTTTAAACTTGGGAAGTTTCTGTTGGGGCCTGCGCAGGCGCAGACACTCCACATGTGTGCATTCACAGAGACCACGAAGAAAAACATAACTTTACAGACCGGATGATCATTTAAGCAGAAATTGTGTGTGTTTATTAACTAATCCCACCACCTTCCTGCATCCCACATGGTCCTAAAACTGTTCGAGAGGACATTCTAAAACAGCATGGGAGACTAGGGTGGGAGGTGCCGAGAGAAAGGGAGATTGACATACTGTGAAACACCCCTTTCTGTCCTTAAGAACAACTAGTTGATGGATCGGGGGCAGGTATGTTTAAAAGCTGACATTCCATTACATTTCAAATACTGTGTTGTGCTAAAATACCAAATCAGGCAGTATATAGCTGCGCTTTTTTTTCTAAGAGCAAATGATTTTAAAGGATTCTATTGCAAATTTCTAAACTTACTGTAATGGGTTCTCCTTTTATATAGATAATTAAGATAACAATGTTGGCCTAAATCTGAATGTTAATCATAATGAGAGGAGACCCATTGAATCAATAGTGTTTAATTAAGGACTTACTTTCCAGAAATTGATTCAGTAGGTTTACTCTAGCTAAAACTAACAATAAGATTTAGCAGAGAAGTCACCCTCCAGCTGCTTGGGACTCCAAGTTTATTTATTTATTTACAGTATTTATATACCGCCTTTCTCACCCCTGGGGGGACTCAGAGTTCCAGAAGCCCTAATCAGCTTGTCTTAATCGTCATGTATTCTGGGAGCTGAAGTCCAAAACAGCCGAAGGGCCATAAGTTTGATACCACTGATTTAGGGCATTCTGATTTTATACTCTTTGCATTTATGAGATGAATATAATAATCATATACCTAATTCCTGCTCTATTGACTTGAGCTTCTTCTCTTGATCAGCAAGCTGTTCTTTCTTTCTTTGCATTTCTGGAGTATTCATGGTTTTTTCTTGATTTTCAAGTTCTGTTTTTACTTTATGAAGTCTCAAAATAGATGTACGGTATTGCTGAAGGAGATCTAAAAAAGTAAATAAATAGAATATGGAACTAATATAAAAGGTACACATACTTTTATTCTAAAAAATAGAATAATAAATATTTTATATGATATAGTTTAAAATATTACTAAAAACGACTTCAAGTGTAAACAAACAGTTAAGTTTACATCTCAGATTCCTAGAGACACATGAACTCCTGTTGAGGTCCTCCCACACATCTGTATATATTGTATGTGACCGGGCTTGAATGCAAAGCAGTGGGAGAAAGACTGGACATCAATGAAGTAATTAAACAAATCTTTGAACACACCTATATGCTCAGAGAGAGTATTGTAACGTTGTGGGAGTGGTTCTCCAAAAACCATCCCTCGAAGTTTATCCATGGGAGGGGCTTTATTTTGAAGGCCTCCAAACTTGCCATTGCTGCGAATTCTGTCTCCCTCTCTTGTCAGTAAAGTTGGGCAATGTGAAATTTTCACAACCTATATGCATAGAAATAAAATCCAATTAATCAAACAGTGACAAAAGGATGTAGATATCCTTTATAGGATTAATACTGCTTCCTGTTGAAAGGTAGTTATCTAAAGCTATTGCCTCAAATTAGTTATTAATATTTCAAATATCCCTCAAGAATATACATTTCACAGTGTTAGGGTATGATCAGGAAATGTTGCCTACTACACTGGAGAAAACAGGTAATGCACCTTTAAAAATTAATTCTGCTAGTCAAAAATGGTCACACATCCTGAAAGTATTAAACCCATTTCTTGAAATTAAAAAGATAGGAATGAAATGGAACACTGCATACCAACCATGAATTTTTATTCTAGATTGGTAGTGAGGAGGAATCAGGTTTACACAACTCATTGCTTAGTGAGTTGCCTCCTCTGGCTCCTTCTTTCAGTTTCCCTTCAAAGCTAAGCTAAAGAATTGAATAAGTAGAGAAAGTATGGGGTTGTGGGTCGGTGATCAATCGATACTGAGAGACAACACCAAGCCAGAGTAGATCAATTTCGGGGCATCTTTGTCCTTCTCTTCATCCTCAGATTGAGCAGGAGAGGAAGAAGACAGTGAAGGAGGAGGCGGAGGAGGACAAGGTGAAGATGGTGGCAGCGGCGGTTGCTTCGACACTGAGGCCTGAGCTGCTCGAGCCAAATGAGCAGTCCGCCTCCCTTTCTCCGGAGTAGAAGTCGCCAGGAAGAGCTCTTGACTGGCAGAAGGTTGAGTTGGAGGCTGCTGCTCAACTTGAACCATGGTATCCACCGACAGCACCAGAGACTCCGGGAGCTCCTGGAGAATAGGCTCGGCAGGGGCTACCGCCTGGGAGACTTGCACTGGAGGAGGCGGTTGAGCAGGAGGGACCGGGGAGGAGCGGCCAGATGAGGTGGCCGAGGAGGCTGTCATGGTCTTCCTCGAGGATGTTGAGGATGAAGACTGAGGCAGGGTTTTCTTTTTTGTTGGCGGCTGAGAAGAGGCTGGCCTTGAAAGAGACTTTCCTGGTGTCGGCAAGACCGGAGGCGAAGTCGAAGCCGTTCTCGCTTGGTGGGATTTTTCATGTGCTCTCTTAAAAGCAATGTGCATAGCTGTGGAAGATGGTGCCATTACAGCTGCCAATCTCTTGGAGAAAGCCGAGGGAGCAGATGCTACCAAGCTCGCGGCTGACGACTGTTGAGCCTGCATGGTTTCTGTCATCATGGAGCAAGGGTGCTTCAATTGCCTCATCTGCCTCAAAGATTTTGAGGTCCCCGATGTCGCAGAGTGAGGTTTTGTTGGTGACTTCGCTCTTGCCGAAGTTGAGGACGCAGAAGAAGGCCCCACCGAGGTCGATGCCGAAGGACCCAAAGTTTGTTGATACAGAAGATATCTCAAACAAGCAGCCCAATTCTTTTGAGACTGAGCTGTCAACGCTTGACAATGACGGCAGGAATAGGTGATATGGGTTTCACCAAGACAAAGAAGACACTTAAAGTGCTTATCAGAGTCAGGAATCTTCTTAGAACACTGCGAGCAGTGCTTAAAAAGCGTTGTGGACATAGCAATGAAGTCCAAATGTGAGCCTTGCAGCAGAAAAACAGGAACTGTGGAGTGTACACACGGGGCGCCAGTCCAGCCAGTGGACTGGGCGGGATTACCACCAAAACTTGGAGGTTTCCAACTTGGGAAGTTTCTGTTGGGGCCTGCGCAGGCACAGACACTCCACGTGTGTGCATCCACAGAGACCACAAAGAAAAAGCAAGCTACTCAGATGACAATAAAAGCAGGATGCTGCTCATTAAGAACTGGAACTAAATCTTGAAACTTAAATTCTGTCAAGGCAGCATCACTGACATTTACTTGTTTGCTTCTTTGTGTGAATTAACTGAGCACCCTTACAAATGTTTAGCAACATTTGCAAAAACGTGTTGTAAGTATACCAAGCTATCAGACGATAAGAATGCTTTATGCTGCATAACACTGGAGAAAACAAGTGTGACATGCTCCTGTTTTCCAAATGCAAAAGACTGAATATCTCTTGTTGGAATACGTGGGACTCGAAGTGTTTTGGATTTTAGATTTATTTGGATTTTGAAATATTTGTATATACACAATGGGACTCAAATTTAATCATGAATTTAACTTGTTTTATATACAACTTATACACATAACCCGAAAGTAATTTAAACAATACTATAAATAATTTTGTGTATGAAATGAAGTTGACACATATTGCAGAATTGTTTGATCTATTGTAGATATTTTGATTGGTGAACATAACCACAGTGAGAGGATGAGTATGGATGAATCTGACTGAATTCTATGGTGGTTCCATCTGTTGTGCGCAATAAATACATTGATCACAGTCAGACTTGATCTAATCTAGAGGAAAGTGATTCCTACAGACAGCTGTAGGCCATCAAAACTGCAGCCTTCATCGGATACAACTGTGATTTTTTTACATGAGGAAATATTTTATTGGGTTAGAAGCATATGACTACCTAGAATGAAACTTCTAAGATAGGAACTGAAGAAAAAAGAATTTTATAATGGGTTAAACACAAAGCTGGCCCTAATATTCAACATTCCAAACAGACTCCTAGATTAGTTATTATAGTTCTCCTGTTAGTTCACTTTTTTCTAATTCATCAAAAATTCCTTACTCTGGAGACATGGCAAAGAGATCTTGCTCCTCTGTCTATATCTAGATATCTACAAGATACTGTCCAAACAGGCAAACAGCTGAATTCTCTGTTTTCTGAAGACTATCATATGGACTAGAAACTTGGTGAAAACCTTGGAAATGGTAATACCTGCTTTGTCATTAAACCATAAGATAGTAAAAAAAACGAAGTGAATTTCTGACTGGATAAGACGTATTCTGTTGCTCCAGAATTTCTTTCTGAAATATCAAGAAGGAAATTCCAATGACTAATGATCATTGTCAATACCCATGACAAATGATCTTTGGCATTGTCAGATCTTTGGCATTGTCAGATCAATGCCAAAATGCTGCTGAAACACATTATACCACAATTAGTTTCACCCTTGCTGAATGGTACAACACAAAACACCTTATGTTGCAAATGGTTCCAAATTTGATTTTAAGTGGTCACACTGAAGATAAATCAATCTGTATATGTCTTTTTCATTCTATCCCTTAAATTGATTTTATTTACAGTATTCTTCATGTTTAAATAAGGAATGTTCTTGGAATAGGAAGAGGAGTTCTGGTGCTAGCAACATTTTGAAAATAAATCAAGTTTCTTGTTAAGTCAAAAGTGAAATTTGATCACAACTTACAATACGCACCTCTGTTCTATAATGATTTGCAGCATCCAGATTGTCAATAATGATGGTATCTCCTAAGAGCATCCCAAACACTATAAAAGTAATGAAAGAAGGAGACTTCAAAACAAGATTCAAACCACTGTATAAATGAGTTTCTTTTGACATTAGTGCACTGTGAAGCTGAACATCAATATTAAAAGAACAAGTTGGTACTTACTATGAATAATCATTCTTGGAAGCACAGAGGAATAAATCCATGAACCCATGGATTATTTCTTGAATGAAGACTGATGATCTAGGAGTCCAGAGTTCTTTTCAGTTATTAATTTATTTATCGTGTCAGAAGCGAATTGAGAATACAATTATAATACACAAAAAACCACAAAGTAAGTTAAAAACTTGGCATTATACTAAATTTCCTTTTTACCAGAAACTGGCCACTTTGATTGCCACTGGTATTGCTGTAAGAAGGTCCTCCATTGTGCATGTGGCAGGGCAAAGACTGCACTGCAAGTGGTCGGTGGTTTTTTCTTCTCCACACTAGCATGTCGTGGACTCCACTTTGTAGCCCCATTTCTTAAGATTGGCTCTGCATCTCATGGTACCAGAGTGCAGTCTGTTCAGTTCCTTCCAAGTTGCCCAGTCTTCTGTGGGCCCAGGAGGGAGTTTTTTTCATTCAGTATCAGCTACTGTTTGAGGTTCCAAAAGTAGCTCTCACTTTTGGACTCTCACTAGCTGAGATGTACCTGTGAGAATCTCTGTAGATGTTAGAAAACTATTTCTTGATTTAAATTGTTGGCATGCTGGCTGATATCCAAACAGGGTGGGCCAGAGATATCAATGCCTTGGACCTTCCTTTACTGGCTGCTACTTCCCGGTGGACCTCAGATGGTGCAGTATCGGCTAAACAGAATAATTCTTCCAGCAGCGTAGGGCACAGACATCCTGTGATAATGCGACATGTTTCATTAAGAGCCACATCCACTGTTTTAATGTGGTGAAGTGTATTCCACACTGGGGCATGTGTATTCAGCAGCACAGTAGCAAAGTGCAAGGGAAGATGTCTTCACTGTGATTGGTTGTGAGCCCCAGGTTGTGCCAGTCAACTTTCGTATGATATTATTACTAACACCCACTTTTTGCTTGTCAATCAAACAATGCTTCTTGTAAGTCAGAATACGGTCCAGAGTAACTCCCAGGTATTTTGGTGTGCTGCAATGCTCCAGTGGGATTCCTTCCCAGGTAATCCTCAGAGCTCGAGATGCTTGTCTGTTCTTAAGATGAAAAGCATACATCTGCATTTTAGATGGATTAGAAATCAGTTAGTTTTCCCTGTAATAGGCAGTAGGAGCACCCAATGCTTCAGAGAGCTTCTGTTAAACCATTTCAAAGCTCCCTGCTTGAGTGGTGATGGCACAATCATCAGCATAGATGAAACTCTCTGTCCCTTCTGGCAGTGGCTGATCATTTGTGTAAATGTTAAACATTGATGGAGCAAACACGCTCCCCGAGGCAGGACATTCTTCTGTCTTTGCCATCTGCTTCTCTGGCCCTGGAACTCAAGAAAAGAGCTCCTGTTTTGTAGAAGATTTCCTATGAAGCAGGTAAGGTGGTAATCCTTTGTTATTTTATAATTTTTTTCTCAGAAGGGGGTGATGGTTTACAGTATCATAAGCTGTTGACAGATCTGTGAAGAAAGCTCCTATAATCTACTGCCTTTCAAAACCATCTTCTATGTGCTGAGTCAGATTCAATACTTGTGATGTGCAGCTTTTCCCTTTCCTAAAACCAGTTTGTTGTGGAATCATAAATGGGACTATTTTTTCATAATTCTATGCAGAATAAGTCTCTCCAGAACCTTATAAAGATGGCACAAGGAGGTTGGTCTATAGCTTTTTGGATCATTGCGGTCTTTGCCTGGTTTTAAAATGGCTATGAATCTTGCTTTCCTACAGATTTTAGTGATCCGACAGGATGCAATGCAGTTGTTCAACAGCTTTAGCAGCTAGCACCTTGCTTTTGGGCCAGAGTTCTTAATTTGTTCCATCTGTAGATAATCCAGGCCAGTTGTTTTGCCATTTTTACATTTATTGAGAGCCATTTCCAATTCAGTGGATGTAAAAGGTTCATAAAGGTTGTTGTTCTCATTATCTAGTTGTCTGACTATTGGTTTTCCCCCATTTGGGGTTCAAGACTAAAAAGGTTTGAGAACCACTTAGATAATATTCTTTTCCTCCCTTCTTGATGTGACAAGACTTCAATTATCTATTGCAACTAAATTTAATTTTTGAATAATGCAGCTCAATATTTTGACCACTTAATGGTATTTACCTGTCTGGCAGTTCTCTGTGTGTTCTGGAAATGTTAGCAAGTTCCTGGCAAATACAGGTCTTCCCATAGGCCTGAAACAGTTTTTTCCATTTCGTAGGTGAGGTAAAGGCCTGGTTAGAGGATTAAAAAATAATTTCATTTCTTACATCTGTTGTTAGTTTTAAAATATGAAATAAAATCTGGTCAGCATGTGGATATCCTACTGCTGAATTTTAAGATTTCCATGACCAACCATAATGTAAACAAAAAGCATACAAAACAAAGACAAATGAAAAAGCTGAAAAAAGTCACAAGGATTGTGATGATGCAGGCCATGGCAAGTTATTCTTGTCCAGTTCTTATTCCTTTTGAAAGAGAGAGGGACACTGGGACTGAGATATGATAAGGCTATATTATCTTAATTCTACGTTGCAAGATACCTTGAAATGCATATTGGGAGATAAATAGTATTAGAAAGCTGCTGAGTCCCCTTTGGGGTGAGAAGGGCGGCATATAAATGCCGTAAATAAATAATAAATAAATAGATAAGGTAAGATAAAATAAAATAAACAGTTGGTTTATTGGTGATAAAGCATTACCGGAGACACCTTTCTCCCATGATCACTCTTTCAGGAGTGAATTTTGTTGCGATAAGTCCTTGCAGGACTAAGTATATGTATGAAGGAAAACCTTATGAGTGGTACCATATATTCCAGGCTACAAGACGACTTTTTAAATCTTGAAAACCCTTTTAAAAGTTGGGGGTCGTCTTGTCTTCCGGATATACCAGAGGACGATGACGAATGGCAGCGACAGCAGAGCCTGCAGGCGAGCCCAGACTTCGTCTACAGTCTCTGGCAGGTGAAGTATTTTAACTGGAAAGTTGGGGGTCGTCTTATATGCCCAGTTGTCTTATAAGTCAGAATATACGGTAATTATCTTGTTCAGCTGGATAAGTAGGTCAATCAGCAATCTTGTGCCACACCCAAGGGGCGATAACTGTTTGAGTTTCTTTGAATACATTCTGGTGGAGTCCTGGAATGCTGGTGGCGTTCTGGAGGGCCAGCAGGAGATGCTGAAGGAGAGATCCTGAGGGAGAGCTTCTGGAGAGCCTTTTCTCTGAGGAGACCTATGGACAAAGGCTTGGCTCTGAGGAGCAGTTTGAAGAAGCTACTCCGAGGAGACTATGGTGAAATAGCTATTTACTTCAGGTTTATTTTGATCTCTCATTTGCTGTAAGATGAAGATGCCTTATTTTATGTTTCTGACAAAGACTGTGTAAATACGTTGCACTGCTTCATATTTTTTGTATGCAACATAAAGAGTAAAGATTTTCCTGTTCACTTTTACTATTGGTTTGTGAATCTTTTGCATTTGGGCTTTGGGCGCTAGGACGTATGGCTAAAACACACGCTGCATAACAAATTTCCCTTTCTAGGGGTAGATTTCTCTCACTTCCTGATGTCTCTCTCCTGTTCTTAACTATGAGTTGCTTGTTAGTCTGATGTTTTTTTTGGGCCCAAAAAATCACCCTCTAAAACCTGGGTCAACTTAGACACGGACCAATGCTGAAATAGGGACTCATTGCAAAGGCAGCAAAATGGCTGCAGGGAAAAGCACTCCCACCTCCTTAGCTCTTCCTTTCCTGAATCAGAGAAAGAAAGGTGCCACTCCCTCCTTCCCAAGTTTCTTTTTCAGCCTGAATGAAATTAATTAGTAATGTGGAGTGAACACTATGGTGGTTTTATATGGAGCAGAACTCTGGCTATTTTTGATACGGGATTTCCATATAACTTTCTCTATGGACAGACTGTGGCAGCCATTTTTAATAGGACGAGACTGGCTTTTACAGTACGTACCTATTAAAAATGGCTACCATTTCTAAAAAGACTGGGCCACAAGCAATTTCAGGATTATGGGGATACTTTCTTTCAAAGGACTTCTGGTATGTTTCCATGCATATCGATTAATGAGCAAAACAAAAAGCAATACAGAGAAATAGATATTTTTGCCCAGTGTGGTAAGGTAGATGCTTTTGCATTCAACCCAAGCTTTTTGCCATGTGACACAGGAGGTCTTCCTTAAGAGACAAGAGTTTTAGGCCTAACTAGGTTAACAGGTGAAGAGCAAAAAAAGAGGAACAGATGACAAAGATAAGTAATAATATCCAAGTTCTCAAATGGTAGCTTTTCCCACAGACTGTCTTTCATTCAGATGCTGGCTGTGAAGAGTGAGGTTTTAGAACAGCTGCATTGGACACTGTTATGGGTATGGTAGAAATGTTTTCTCCCATGTGTTGCAGTATAAATGAAAATGGTGGTTGAGGATGTTAACACAAGTAACCGATGTATGCATGCCAAGAGAGGTACCAAAAGGGGTGATACTGATGGTTGTATTGGAGCTGTAGGTTGTCTCAAAGCTTGTGACATTTGTGGCACAGGAATCCTTTATAAATCTGGGGTAGATGAATACCTTATTGTAGTCAGTTGTGGGTAGTCATGATATGGATCCTGAGAAATGACTACTGTTGGAACCATGCCAAACAGCAGGCCATGCTGGAAAGGGAGCTCTATGTAACTGTCTATCCCAATCCCCACTTACACTTAGGATATGGATTGTGTGATGGATAGCAAAGGCACTGCTGACTGCACAATTAGATTACTGATCTCTCCAGTGTAGGGGAGGGGTAAATATTCCTATGTCGGACAAATGGTTCTGTGTGAAGATGTTCTGGACATCCTGGAAGCCAGCAATTAATTTTTGTATCAAGATAGGTATTGCACCAAGTAAGAGCACTAAGTTGGAGATCTAGCTTTTAAACTACAAACTGCAGACTAAACGTATTACTGGCTCCTTTTAGACTAAACGGTCAACATAAGTGATCAGTCTCAAGAAGTACCTCTATGGGAAGGTAAGTTACAAAAATAGACGACAATAAATCAAACATTTAAGAATAAGCACCAGCATGTTCCAGAGATTCCATGACCCTTTCAAATGTGGGCTACATTTAAGTGTTTTAGTGGCAGCCGAGACATTTCTGGATTTTTAAGAGGGGACATGTAGCCAAGCCTAAGTATTTGAAAAGTTTGAGTCCAAGGTTGATCTCAGTAATCTGGTACAAGTAACTGAATGCATTTATTTTTATAGGCAGAGATAACTGCTGTAACAGATGAAAAGTGCCTGTCAGAATAAGAGATTTTGCTTCCACAATCAATGCTCTTTTAGAAAGGTTGTTTAGAAGCCATAAAAACAGTGTTATTGGATGCCATGGGCTCACAGGCCCATAAAACCCAAGAGAGAAATAGTTTATGGTGTGAAGAAAGAAATAAAAATTAGAAGATAACCCTGCTCTAACAGGTGAACAGAGATTTTGCTTCCACAATAAATGTAACCTAGAAGAATTCTACGGATGAAAAACATCAGGAAATTGACCGCAATATGTAGCACGAAACATCAAAGTCAAATGGATAGAGAATTTTCGGCAGTAGATGAAAAGAAAGAGAGGGTGGGAACTACTGTATTCTCACCTTCAGGTGATTTTGATAGCTATGTGGTGGCATAGAAGAAACCCATCTCTGGGTCACAGAGACTATAGATCAGGGGTCCTCAAATTTTTTAAACAGAGGACCAGGTCATAGTCCCTCAAACTGTTGGAGGCCCGGATTATAATTTGAAAAAAGCATGAAAGAATTCCTATTCATACTGTACATATTTTATTTGTAGTGCAAAACCCCCCACTTAAAATCAATACAATAATTAAAATGAAGAACAATTTTAACAAATTTTAACAAATATAAACTTATTATTATTTCAATGGGAAGTGTGGGCCTGCTTTTGGGTGATAGGATAGGATTGTTGTTGTTGTTGTTGTTGTTGTTGTTGTGTGCTTTCAAGTCATTTCAGACTTAGGTTGACCCTGAGTGAGGGCCGGGTAAATGACCTTGGAGGGCCATATTCGGCCCTTGGGCCTTAGTTTGAGGACCCCTGCTATAGATAAAAGCTAAGATTGCAATTGTATGCACATTTGTGTGGAAATGAACATGGCACATCATTTATAGCCTGACAAGATAGAACTGTCAGTATGTAAAATAAGCAAGTGACTTTATCTGCCCTGAGTCCCTTCGGGGAGATAGGGCAGATTATAATAAAGTTTTATTATTTATTATTATTACTTTGATTTCCCAGCTACACAAAAACTGCCATATTTAAGAAAGGAACCTTAAAATATCAGAAACATAACATGACAGTGTAATTTTTGAAATTAGGAAGGAACACACAAATTTACCTGTTCCAGTCTGGCAGACTTTTCTTATAAATAGAATCAAGTGGCAATACTTGCTGCCGGCCTTGGGTTTCATCAAAGATACGGCGGGCAGCAGAAGTAGTGAGAGTGACGACACAGTCCATATCACTCGCCAGATGCCAAGAGATGACCTTTGCCACTTCATTATCTTCAATCTGCGCCAAGTGTGAAATCTGACACAAAATTCAAATAATGCATTTGAGTGGAGGGAGAATTTAGTATCTCCTTTCCCTTAGCTCAGTGGCTCCCACCTTTTTTTTGACCAGGAATCCCTTGAACAGGGACTACTCTCCAACATTAGTACCAAAACGGTTAGGAATCAGTTTTTGGTCAACTGTAGATTCAGTTTGGTTATTTGATCCAGAAAATTGCATTGGATAGACCACATCAGTGCTAGTTTCTGATACAGAACATATGCCATCCAATAGTCACCATGTACTTGCCCACAGAAAATCATATTTAATAAACTAGAGCTGATGTGGTAGTAGTAATCTTTCGTGGGTAGTCAGCCTCTCCCTTCCCGATATCCCTGTTGCATCGGCACTGTAAGAGGGTTTTGCGAGACCAGTTGTTCTTGTTGCCGCATAGTCTTGAGGCAACAGTTTAGTAATGGTGAGGCCACGGACCATAATTTCGTTCTTGTGGACCACTGGTTGGGAACCACTGCCTTAGCTGAACTGAATGTACAACCCATCTCTTCTAATCCTGAGACATAGCTATCTCCTGTAGAAGAATTATGTTTTACGGTATTACAAACAGGAACACTGAGACAAAATTCCATCTGAACCTGCCCTTTTCTTGTCCCCACCAGTTTTTCATGTAGATTTCCTGGGAACATAAAAGAAGGGCATTTTGTTGGCTGCTTCCGAGCTGTGGAATTCTCTTTCATGAAAGGCTAGGCTGGCTTCCTATGTAGTCTCCTGTCAGTGCAGGATGAAAATGCTTTTGTTTCAACAAGCATTTGGAAAATGGCTGCTCATGGGAAAATGCTTTTTTAAAATATGCTATTTTTTCCTTTTTCAATTGATATATTTTACATGGCTTTTAATTTTATTGCTAATGTAACTATATTTTTGTATGGTTTTGGGATGTAAACTTTTCACTTAGTCAGTTTCTTGGAAAAAAGTGGGATAACAACAGCAACAACACTTATAAAGGAAAGTAGTTGTGTGAATTAATCGAACTGGGTAGAAGAATGTGAGAGGATGCCTTGTCAGTTGCTCCTTAACACAATATTAGCAGATTATTCTTATGGAAGTTTTGATTCACAATCATCTTTTTAATCTTCTATATGCAGGCGAATGACACTTTTTCAGTACCACTAGTGTTGTCGAAAACTTTGAAAAAAGATTCTAAATAACATCTCATAGCCTAAATTTCAAGCTGTTCTGCTGCAATTACAAACTGTAGATGTCATATAAGGATAAAAAATAAAGCAGGGAAAACCACGCAAACAGAAAGGGGAAAATGGGTAAGGGAAAATACTTACCTTGCCCAACACATCTTGACTACTTCTGGGATAATTGCTAATTGCGCACATTCTTCTAGGTATTTTCATTATTCTTTCCTGCTCAGACCTTTTCTGCATTGTTAAAGAATCAACATATTGCAGCTGGAGAGGAAGAAAGAGAGCATCACCATTATTTATTGCAGATTTCAAATTTTCTTTCTTTCATTTTGGTACTGACATAAACATGACAGCTGTCCTGATTTTATCTGTAAACAATGGGATTGGGAATGCTCTCCTTTCCTATTAGCAGGCTTTATTCTAGAAAATGAAATGTAAAAACACTTCTGTTCTCTTTTCTTGTGGTAGCTAAAGGACTACAACAAAAGGTATCTCAATGGTGACAAATGAAAGAAAGCTCATACAGCATTCATTTGAGGTATGTCAATCTGACATCTTTTCAGATTGTTCTTCAGCTGAGCCTCCTTTTTTTCCGTTTCCAGGATTTGACCTATAACAATATAATAAATTAACAGAAATCAGTTAAACCTTGACTCATACTGAATTCACATGGCACACTTATTATTCAATGAAATACCAAGTTATAATTGACATTCTAGTAAGTGTTTCAAGTCATAAAATATTCCCAGAAGAGGAATATATCACACATTTTTTTAAGAATAATCAAATATTTGTGAACTAATTGATATTAGAATTTTCTAAATAGAAAAAAACCAAGCAATACACATAACAAGACGGCTGCAAACTCCTAATTGCAGCTGCACTCTTTTCTCATCAGCTGTAATAATAAAACTATCCATCTACTGAGAAGTTGAGTATTTTGTGTGAGGAAATTTATCACAGGGAATTACTATAAGGTATATCATGTGTGGGTCCCCTGGTGGCACAGCGGGTTAAACTGCGCAGCTGCTGAACTTTCTGACTGAAAGGTTGGTGGTTCAAATCCGGGGAATGGGGTGAGCACCTGCTGTTAGGCCCACCTTCTGTCAAACTACTAGGTCGAAAACATGCAAACGTGACTAGATCAATAGGCACTGCCTCTAAGGGAAGGTAACGGTGCTCCATGCAGTCAAGTTGACCACATGACCTTGGAGGTGCCTACGGACAAAGCCGGCTCTTTGTCTTAGAAATAGAGATTAGCATCAACACCCAGAGTTGCACAACTAGAGTTAATGTCAGAGGAAAGCTTTACCTTTTAACATGTGAATGTGGCTGCATGCCACAAACAACTGATATATGATATAAGAAAGTAGCTTTCTAAGCATTTTGACATGCCAATGTTATATTCACAAGGGAATAAGAGATGTATCCACAACAGCTTTAATATCTGAACTTATTCTAATTACTAAAATTATAGCAGAGCATTTTTTAAAAAAGAACCATACATATAAAATCAAAAGATAACTTTGAAAGAAAGAGCTGAAAATTACTCCTCTAAGAAAAATTGAGTGACCAATAATGTATCTAAATCTGTATCTCTATCTATACATACTTACTCTTTAGTTCACCGAGAAGCTGATTAGTGGTGTCAAACAAACTTCTATATGCATTTATTGACTGAGATAGTTCGTCCCTCCTTTTAGTAAGTGTTGCCATCTGCTGTTGCTTTTTGTAACCTAGAAAAATATTTTAGTCCTATCACTTTCAATCATTCCTCAAAATGACAGAAAATTGTAGTGAGAAATGGTATACAGATGTTTATCATAATCAAAATAAAACAATAAAAGTAGATGTATATGCTATATGGAGAGTATAGGTTAATAGGAGCAGCACTGAATCTTACCATCGTAAAACAAAAAAGAGAGACAGTAAGGTTTCAAACGTCTTTTCAAAGTTGGTATTGCTGGCTCAAATTCCAGAATATATTTCGTACTGTCTCTCCCTGGACTATTTTCTGCAAGTACAAGAGCCTGAAAAACACCGAATGTATTTGTCATCTATATAATCTCTTTAATAAAGCTTTTCTTAATTGTAGTTGTGCAAAAATATTTAGCTACACCTTCATTCTATATTGATATTTTCTAACAGAACTTGAATTTTATTTTGAAGATATATTCTGTTAAAAATGCCTATTATCCCACAGGCTGTTATATGAGATTAAAAACAGCTTTAACCTTCTCAGCAATGATACTTTCAGTAACATATTTAAAAGTACAAGATATTATATTTAATTTGTATTCTATCTCTTGCTTGGATTTTAATTCGTGTCCACTATTTTTCTTTATTTAAAACAGAACAATGTTCAATGAATCCAAGGTTCAGTAAACTCAAAATCAATAATTCTGAATTTCTTCAGTTGTAAAATTCCATCTATTGTAAGATGAACTCTAATTTCTATACTACTACTACCATCAAAAATACATAAGTTACAGCTATGCTTCTCAGACATGGCCCATTTTCAGAGCTGTCAATAGTGGAAAAAAGTGCATCCTAGAATTGAAGAAATACAGTATGCAATAAAAGAAAGAATTTGGTTCTCCCCAAAGACTTAAATGACTTCTATTGCCATGAAAGCAGATAGGAAATTGCCATAAATTACAGGTTTTCCAGGAAACAGGAGATACAATTTTAATTACAACAGCAATGTGAAGATAACCACTGAGCATGATCAATATAAACTAATATAAAAACAGTAGAATCTCTGTATCCACAGGCTCTGGATTAAACCTACTGTAGACTGAAAATAATATTAAAATATACAGTATTTGAAGAGCAAATAATGATAAAAAAAAACTGTCCTCTAATTAAAAAAATAGTACAATGGGGATATCGTATTTATTTCTCTCTCGCCCTGCCCAATGGCCTTGTACGAGGCCCATGGTGGAAATTCTTCTGTGATGCGCTCCTGTTGGCGGTAGGGCAAAGGGGAGGAGAGGCTGGGATAATTGCACAGTTGCCTCCAGGATTGTGCAGACCAAGAGTTTGGGTTATGATGAGGGGGTGCAGGTGGACAGGGTGGAGAGGTGAGGTTAAGGCTTGCTTGAATGCATGCACAACAGCTTTGGGATCAGCTTTCCTTCTCATCTTTTTCTATAAGGGATTTGAGCTTGTGTGTTCTTTGGTGATGGTGGTGGTGGGGGGCAGAATCAATCCTCTGCAGATAAGGAAAGCTCACTGTATAAATCAAGGTCTATTGATTTTAATAATTTCATTGAACTATCAGAACAAAAATTAGAACCACTGGAATCACGCAGTTCTTCAGATTTTGTTGGATTACAGCTTCAAACATTCCTAAACACTGGCTAAGCTAGCTAAGGCTGCAGGGAGTTGCCGTCCAACATCTGCAGGGCTATATAATTTCCATTCCCAATTATACATACTTGATTTGTTGCAGTCACACTTATAGCTAAGGGATAGAAAAAGCTCTAAAATATAAAGAATATAAAATAATAACTGATATAAGTACATAAAGATTAGAGTCCAATAGTGTGTTTTCTTTGAATCCACCTTTTTCCACTGGAAATTACAATCTAGTTCCCTTCTGTATCCTAATACCTGTTCTTAAAGGGCTAAGAAACACTATGGGACACATTTTTGATGGGAGAAACTTTCGGGTTCACTGGTATTTAATACTAAAGTATACCATTGGATTTTGGCAGTAATATACTATTATTTTTCAGTTGAGACACATTACTTGCAATTATACATTTATATAATTATTTTTAGAAAACTCACCTCAATTTCAACAATCCCTCTGTGAAGAGGAAATTCAACTGTATTTGTTTTTCCTTGGAACATGGGAATGTCTGTATCATTCTCAATTGAACTTTTAATTTTAGCTATGATTTTTCCATCTAAATCATTACCGGTGCAGTTTTTGTACTCATCCTTAAGTCAAGAAGACACCAAAATTAGAATAGTAATGCTTGCACATGATGTTTTCACATTGGGGCCAAATTAGGTTTGTGTGTGTGTGTGTGTGTGTGTTAGTTCTTTTTTTTTTTAGTTTTTGATATTTTGTTTCTTTTTTTAAACAGGAAAGTTGAGATATAAATAAATATCAAATTTCTAGAGGTAATTGAAAATTTACAGGTACATTTTTGGAAAATTACAATGAGGCATAAAATGTATTTGAACAATGGGGAAGAAAGGGCTTTAGGTAAAATTAAATATGGAGGTTATACAATTTTCACAGACAATAGGATTTTTATTATTACATAATTCAACTTAATTACCATCATAATGAGGGTCAAGTCCTTGACAAGAGTCCGACTGCCAACAGCCCAAACATTAGTAACAGCAGGAGTATTTGGCAAATTTCTTGGGATCAGCTGTGTTGGTTCATTAGGCACCACTTCAATTAGAATCTTGATAAAAGATCATGACAATGCATAGATAATAAATGTATAGATTGAAAGATCAAAAGCACATTGCAAAAAAAAATATTAGGGACATATTCAATTTTTGAAGAACATTTCATATTTACTCTTGATGTCATGTTCTCCTTCCATGTAGCGGGGAGTATCTACAGTTGGCAATTTTTGTGTAATATCTAGACCTATATTACTGGCAGACTAAAGCAGAAACCAACTTGGGCCAAACTAATGTTCCTACTTTCTTGGGTCAAATTCGTCTTAGATCTGGTGCTCACATTTTTTTTTTTTAGCCATAATTGATAGTTGGAAACAATATCAGCTGCCATAGCTAAGGTGGCAATTAAATTCAGACTGGCATTTGTTATAATGAAGCCTTTGCCAACCCACAAACTCTTGTTTGAATCAGTTTGGGTATCAGTGGCAGTAGCAGTTCTGGCAAATGATGAAGCAGCTGCCAAAGCCAGAGCAGTTGCCTCATGAGAGCTGCAGGAAAGCCTCCAAACTTATAACTTCAAAATGTTTTGGCATTTTCACTTGCATCTTTAGAGAAAATGGTTTCCAAAATGAACCCTGTCACAAGGGCATCAGTGAGAGGGCTAATTTAAATCCCTCCATGATTTCCTGAATTAAAAGAAAATGGCAATGTTTAGTGTAGACAGGGGTCACCCTAGCCACGCCTGGATTAGTTCTCTTCTCTTCCATAACATAAGCAATAACAGCTAGAAAAGGTATAACAACCCACTCCTGCTTAGTTTTAGATCTGATTTCTACTATCTCTTTTAAGAGTCACCTTGCTCTTAAAACTCAAACTCAATCGTTTCATTCACCTTCCTGAGAAAGACTGGAAACTTAACCAATTAAAAAGCAAATAGAAACATAGTACCACTGTCCCTTTCCTTTATCTGAAGCCATTGGCGAGTCTGACGACTCAAAGTCCCTCACAGAAGAGACAAGCAAAATACACTTTCCCTTCAGAAGAAATGAAATAAAATGAAAAAAGAATAAGAAATAGTGTCACTTTGCACACTTTCAAACCTAGAATGCTTAAGGAAGGAAGTTGGAAAAAAGAACAGATTTCTCTTAAAAGAGAAAAAAGGAGAAAAATCTCTTTACAAATCTCATACAAAACAGCCAACCTTCAGACTGAAACTGACTAGCCCCATTAGGGTCATTCTGCTAAGTAGTCACCCTAAAGACTCTTACTCTATTCTATTTAGCTGGAGTGTTAAAGCCCTTCAACAGAGGAAGAACAGAAATGTGATGATAGGACTGGCTAGCTCCTTGGACTGGTTAAGGATGATGGACAGACTGTAAATCCTGGCTGTGAAGCACAAAGAAGCCAGACACAGCAGAAAGGACTGCTTCCCCAGAACACAGTAAGGGAGGGAAAATCTTTGCATTATGTTTCTTCAAAAACAAACCTGTTCACTGTTAAGAGTATTTGCTTTGTCGATGGCAAACAAAAACTGGATGCTGTATGTGCCCGCTTTTTCTGGAACAATTTTGTCCCTAAAGTACAAACACTTGAGATTTAGTAATAATAAATAACTTAGTAATTAAAACATACAGCCTTTATATTCTCTAACAGACAGATATTCTCCTGCCAGATGAAGAAAATCGTTGGATTTAACCTGAAATTTCTTCTACATGAAGATTTTACCTTCATTATCTATGTGTGTATGACAGATAAAAAACATTGTTTCATGCTCAAAATTATTTAAAATATTGTCTAAAATTACTTTCAGGCTATGTGTAAAAGTAGAATATGAAGCATAATTAAATTTTGTGTTTAGACTTAGATCCCATCTCAAATATAGCTCATTGTTTATGGATGTATTTTAATTTGATTTATGTCTAACTGTAATTGTATCATTGTAATTGTTTGTGCTGGCATTGAATTTGCCATTACCTATGTGGAAACCGCTTTGAGTCCCCTTCGGGGTGAGAAAAGCGGTATACAAATACTGTAAATAAATAAATAAATAAATAAATAATATGAAATTACTCGTATATGCAATTTCCAAACTTTGAAAATATTCAAAATCCACTCCTGGCACCAAGACTTTCAGATAAGGAATACTAATTTCTTGATATTAAATTTGTAGTCTTTTAAAAACGCATTAATTAGAGATGGTTAAAATGGTTATATCACATATTGTTTTTGTGAAAGATTAAAATTAAAAGGATAATTTTCATTTAGTGAGGGGTTGCTGCCAAGGCATTTTGACAAATAAAAGTCGTGTATTCCTTTTCTTTTCAGAACCATGTACTAAAATATTGTTTGAAATATTACAACTTAAAAATATTTTTACCTGAAGTAGAAAAAGCCTTCGTCCTTGACATCTTTTTTTTGGGAGCAGCCAAATGTTGTAATCTAAAAAAAAAAAAGCTTGCTTATGACAATATTTAAAATAATTTTGTGAAATACTGTGGCTCTGAAACGTTAACATATAAGGTAAGTAAATAGAATTGAGTCGCAAAGAAAAGCACTTCATTATTTAACAATGTACCATATATTTTAAAAAGTATTTAACACATATTCTTTTAACAATACAATAAGGTAAGACTGTAAAAAAACAACAACCATGAATTACACTAATGTATCATATCATATCATAAAAACAAGAAAGGAGAAAACAAATATGGAGCTTGTTTCCAAAAAGTACCAAATCTATCTGAACATGTTTGACAAAACTGAAAAATGTCCTGATTATATGCATTCTTTTGCTGTAAAATGTAGTTTTCCAAGCAAAGTCTACTTCTATCCAACAATGTGCTGCTACCTGTAATTCATTTTTTAGGTTTTTTGGATTTGGTACCTTTTGGAAACAAGCTCTACAAATTATTTCCAACTTTCTCGCTAATGCTTGAAAACACTTTACAGATACCTTACTTCTTCTAAAATATATTTAAAATAAACTTCCAGATTTTATTCAGCCCTAGGTAGAGGTAAAAGTTTCCCCTGACTTCAAGTCTAGTTGTGTCCAACTCTGGGGATGGTGCTCATCTCCATTTCTAAGTCGAAGAGCCGGCACCTTCAAGGTCATGTGGCCAGCATGACTGCATGAAGCACCGATACTTTCCCACAGAAGTGGTACCTATTGATCTATTCACATTTGCATGTTTTCAAACTGCTAGGTTGGCAGAAGCTGAAGCTAACAGTGGGAGCTCACACCACTCCCAGGATTTGAACTGCCAAGCTTTTGGTCAGCAAGTTCAGCAGCTCAGCGGTTTAGCCCACTGTACCACAAGGGGCCCACACATGATATACCATACAGTAATCCCTGTGATAAATTTCCTCACATAAAATACTCAACTTCTCAGTAGACAGGTAGTTTTATTATTACAGCTGATGAAAAAATGTGCAGCTGCAATCAGGAGTTTGCAGCCACCTTGTTATGTGTATTGCCACGCTTTTTCTTATTTAGAAAATTCTAATATGAATTGGCTCAGAAATATTTGATTATTCTTAAAAGAATGTGTGATATATTCCTCTTCTTGGAATATTTGATTTACGTTTATAATAAAAAAAATTAATCTGAAACACTAAAATATCAATCATCACTTGATATTTCATTGAATAATGAGTGTGTGATGTGAATTCAGTATGAGTCAAGATTTAACTGATTTCTGCTAATTTATTATATTGTTATAAATCAAATCTCTGTCCAGCTTCTGGAGTTCCTCCAGGTCTTTTTATGCTGGAGGGTTTATATGTGCAATTCTAATGCACACCTCAATTTTGGCAATGTAATTTTGGCAAAAAAAGATGAGCATTAGTCACGAGTAAATATGGGATATATGGTAATTACTCATGGTGAGCTTTGATAGTTTCCATGAACCATAACTTAAAATGAGACAGACGTGGCAATCACATTTTCCCACTTCATCAAATATTGGTTTTTTCTTCTAACTTACATTTTGCGATAAAGTTGCACTACTTTGTCCTTCCCACATTTTCATGCAAATTCTTCCTGGATTTATATTTACAATAATGTTGTTAGCTTCAGAAATAATACTAACAATGAAATCTGCATAGAAAAAAGAGAAGACACTCCACACCAAAAATGTGGAAGTAAAATATTAGTTAGAAAAATGTGTAAGCAAAAAACTGTAAGATGCTTACAAAATTAAATGCATTTAATTTTATTTTGCATTTTTATAAATCATCCTCAATTGAAAGAGGACTATAAAGCAAATGTTTCCCCTTCAGGATAAGTGGGATATAAATAATAAAGCAATTAAAACAAATGGCAGTAAGATTACAAAACAAGAAACACCAATTAGAAACAAACAATTACATTAAGATAAATCAAATCTCTGTGCAGTTTTCTTTGCTTGCTCTGCCGGCCTAGTTGCTGAATGTGAGTCAGCTGAGTCACAGAGAACTTACAAATACAATATGTTGGCCTGAAGTGCCATGAGATTTCTCTGTTAACATGTCTTAAGAAAAACAGTTCTATTCCTCTTGGTAACTCTGGATTTTTATGTTTAATCATTATTCTATAGGGTGTTTTTTTTTTTTTTGGCCTTAATTGCCTTTTTGAACTGTGGATCTTTTCTCCTAGGTTGCTCTTGCTGTGACTGAAATGACACTGGAAGCCCCTCTGAGTCACTTTTACTTGCAGAAATAACTTTTCAATTGTCTTCTCAATCATTTCAGAGACCAGCTAAAAACAGCTGGTCTTGTTATTGTCATGACTCCTGATTTACTGGATGTCAGTTCGTAACGTGATACTATGAAGTGTATCTTGCACCAGAAGCAGAAAGAGTCAAGTGAACAGTTTCTGCTTTAGGTAAAAGACACTTGAACAAAATAAATGTTCATGATCTGCAGCCTACAGTGGTACAGAGTGAGCTCTTTAGTCAAGTATTTGTTCTAAAATCATGTCTTCAAATGGCAATGAGAAACTCCTGCTTGAAAAGCAAACATCAAGTATGATAATTCACTGCTTAGATTTAAAGAAGTGGTTATTAAGAAAGAATCCCCAAATGTTAATTGAACCAAAGCTCCCAGAATCCCTGACTACTACACTCACTAGTTGAAGAGGAACGACTTATCAGGACCAAGTCTAGGAACTACTGGGTTGGACAATGTAAAAATAGAAAGAAAAGAAAAGAAAGACCTTCACATTTGCTTCATTAAAATGTCAAAAAGTACTTACCAGGAAAGGTACTTCCAGCTGTAAAGGTAGCATCCTTGTCATACTTGACATTCAAACATATAGGTTTCTCAGGATCAGGCAGAACATTTAATTTAATTACAGGGCAGTTCAATGTGTTTCTATTATACAAGGCTTTAAACTGCAACACATGCTCTCCTCTGAAACATAGAAGCATAGCCAAACCTTACTAAATCTTTCATTTAAAACCCTCTCAAAATCTTCTAACAGAAGTATATGAAGTTACTTCTATCAGTGTTACTCAAAGCAGTGGTCTCTGTACCAGTGTCAGTCCTTGGATGATGATGATAAGAATAACAATCTTTATTTATATCTCGCCTTTCTCCCCATGGGTACTCAAGGCAGCTAACATCTATCCACACTAAACAGTCTGAAAAGAGCAATACAAAAGTTAAAAAACTATTAAATAATAATGTCACCTGGACATGCCCAGCATTTTTAGAATTTTAACCATTACATTTGGCCCTGCCACAGGTTTTTAACAGTGTCGGGCTTTTGTTATTGTTTTATTGCTTGCTTATTTATTGTTGCATTGTATTATTGTCTGTTATGTTTTGTTAATGATGTACTTTGGGCTCGGCCTCTTGTAAGCCGCACCGAGTTCTGCGGGAGATGGTAGCGGGGTACAAATAAAGGATTATTATTATTATTATTACTATTATAGTGTAGTAAAAACAGAATAAAAATACAGCAAATGCATTAAAATGGCCTTTAAAACTCCTATCTCCCCCAATACCACACATCCTTCCCAGAGCCTTCCCTTACGCTTCCCCAAAAGCCTGCTGACAGAGGAAGGTCTTGACCTGCTTGTGGAAGGCCAGCAGGGATGGGGCCATTCTGGTTTCTCTTGGGAGGAATTTCCATAGCCTGGGAGCAGCCACCAAAAAAGGCTCTTCTCTCCCATGTTCCCACCAAGCATGCTTGAATGTGTGGTGGGAAAGAGAAGGACCTCCCCAGTAGATCGTAGATGTCTCCCAGATCTGGGAAAATCCTTCAGATAACCTGGATCAGAGCCATATAGGGCTTTGTAGGTCAAAACCAGAGCTTTGAATTGTGCTTGGAAACATATTAGCAGACAGTGGAGCTGTTGCAATAGAGGGGTTGTATGCTCCCTGTAGCAAGCCCATTAGCAGTGTGGCCACTGCTCTTTAGATCAACTGCAATTTCCAAGCACTTTTCAAAGACAACCCCATGTAGACCGCATGACAGCAGTCCAACTGGAATGTACCACCATGGCTAGATCTGACTTCTAAAAGACCCCATAGGTCAATGGCCAAAGAGTCCAACGGAAGTCCTCCAGCACCATCTTCTGAGAATGTCCCTCCAGGAAGAAATGGAGCCACTGAAGAACAGTACCCCCAAGCCGCATCCAAGAAAGGTGACCCAGAAGGATACCATGGCCGATGGTATCAAAAGCCATTGAAAGGAGAAGCAATAGGGACACATTCCCCCTGTATGTCATCCACCAAGCGACCAAAGCTGTCTCTATCTTATAACCAGGCTTGAAATGAGAGTGAAATGGATATAGATAATCTGCTTCATCCAAGAACCCTGGGAGTTGTGAAGCCACCACACACTCCAGAACCTTGCCTAAAATGGGAGGTTGGAGACTGGCCTGTAGTCGTCCAGTACAGAGAGGTCTAAGGAAGGTTTTTCAAAAAATGGCTTTACTACAGCTCCTTGAGGCATGCGGGGACCCCGTCCTGATGTACGGAGACGTTAATCGCTTTCCTGACCCACTCCACCAGTTCGGATGGATTGCGTGGGGCCTGGCAGTGCCTGCAGCTGAGCACAGAGTAAGGATCAGTCCTAGGCGTTTTGGGCCTCTGGGTGCAGGCTTTGGACCTATGCACATGAGTCTGCAGTTGAGACCCAAGTAAAGATCACTCTTTACTCGGTGCTTGGCTGGAGGCACCCTGGTGCTTTGGGCCTACTTGCCTGGGTCTGGCAGGGTCTGCAGCCGAGTGCTGAATAAGTAGCACGTAGGCCGGGAAGCCTACACCCATAGGGCCAAAGCGTCTGGGCCTACGGGTGCAGGCTTTGGGCCTATGCATCCGGGCCTCACAGGACCTGCAGCTGAGTGCCGAGTAAGGAGCGTTCCTTACTTGGTGCTTGGCTGCAGGCCCGGCCAGGCTTGGGTACATAGGCCCAAAGCCTGCACGTCCAGACATGGGCGCCTTGGGCCTATGGGTGAAGTCTCCCCCCCCCCCCAATTTAAATGAAACAAAAATGGAAAACAACTATCTGATCTCCCGATTTCAGGATGTTCAGACAAAAACGGATTAGGGCCCCCACCGAAAGCCGAACATGAAACGGATCAATGTAAGTCCCGAATGGACAAGTCTACTACTGGGCTATGACCTTGGCTATTGTCTCTTGTCTCATCATTATTGCGTTTGTGTTTTTGCAATTTTGTTATATTGAACAGACCTTGAAAGAATTAAGATTTTAGTTTTCTTTATAAATGAAAGGTAGTCTTTGGCTCATCTCTGCTTCAGCCCTGATACCAGTATCCTTGAACAAGGAACATTAAAAAGTTATATAAATAGCATTATAATAATACCTTACATTGAATCTATCACTTTGTCTCATAATCTAAGCCCCACATTCAACTGAGAAATCCCAACCACCAGTGTGAGTCTGAGTTCTGCCTCTCTTTATCTTGATTTTATAAAGGAGAAAGCCTCGCTTCTGGTACACAGCTTCTTGGGCCTAGAAGCTAAACCTAGCAGTTTCTCATTGTTAAACTGGTATTGGCATGTGTGTCAATGGCAAGACAGCTATTTCTAAAGTTAAATATACATCAATATTTTATTTTAGAATAGTGCCAGAAATTTAAATGTGTATCTCTAATATATTTGATTTAAAATGAAATGTTTTAAGCACTCACCTTGGGGCATGAATAGTAACAGTTCCAAAATTTGCTCTACCATTTTCGTCTGTTTTAAGAAGCAGGTTTGAAGGTGTAATCTGTCAACAAAATTGTATTTTTCTTAATGTCAAAGAAGCATGGTAACAGTCACTGAAAAGCAGATTTAATTTTTTCTCTGTTTTCTCAAATTAGATATTTTGCTTATCTTAGATGTTTGCCTATGTAGCTTAAGTACAAGAACTGGTAAAGTTGCAACTTTTTATATTAACATGGCACTGATCCTGGGAAAGAAATACTAGAGAATAAATGAAAAACAAATACATTTTGTTCTTATTTTTATTCCTGAAGCCAAACTGATGATATTTGGCTCAACATAAGCAAACAACTAAAATATTATTATTGGGTGAACGGATTCTGTATAATTTGAAGAACCTGACTTTGCATTCCCTCTATTAAGATATTGGTTCTATAATTATGTAATATATAGCTTGCAAAAAACTAGTTGTTGTCAAATCTTTCAAATGTGTACTTTGATCATCCTTTCATTATTATTCAACAATCCACATATACTCCTGATATTTTGTAAGGTTACATACAGCGGGATTCCAAAGTATGTAAAAAGATGAAATGTAAATATTAACAATTATATTTTTAAATGTTCATATTTTAATATAGGCTCTGCTCCTAATTTCAACATAAGCTCCATCATCCTTACTTTCAAATTTCTGTATATCTTGTCCTCCTTAATTTCCCCCTATCTGAATGTGTCCTGCTCTCTCAAAATAACCTGTCCTTTCTCCCCTATAGTATTCCCTCTCAAAATACTTCATTATACCTCCTCTCTTTCTTCGAGTCCCTCAAAGTCTACCACCCTATCTGTAGATGCATCTTTTGTCTTGTGTAATAGTTTTATAAGTCTTACCTGTTTTTCCCCTGCCTTGGCTTGCCTTTTGATGGCACTACATATATCAATGGACAGTTCTAAAAATTACATATTTTGAATTCCTTAAAAAATGATACAACTACAGTTCCAAAGCATATAATATGAGATGTAATAAGGAAGTGTGTGACAGTCAGACTCAAAGTACCTTTACACTGGAAGCTTTTAAAAGGTTGATTTTGACATTAGGTTCAGAAGATGGGTTATTCCAATGATCACAGACTTGCAGTATAAAAGGTTTGTGTAGTTCTTTGCCATTAATCACTGACACAGGCTAGAAACAGAAAAAGAAACTATTTGAGCTCTGCATCCTGCAAAAAATATATTCAGCACTATGTAATCTACTATCAAACTACAGCAAAGAGACAGCTGAGAAAAGACATATACTTCCTAATCCTAATAGATATTTTGATATACATTATTCCTTTTGGACCAGTGTTTCTTTTTATGCTTTAGAATATGTTAAGTATTTCATATTAATCAAATATTAATAACTTCTATTCAACATGGAGTACTGACCAAATGGTATACTTAAATCAAGCACATGACACAGACCCACCTCTTCTAAGTCTGTCCAATCTATAAGCAGCAATTTAGCTGGAGGTCCTGCCACCAAATTTAATCTCACAAAATGAGAAAATTTATGCCAAGCAAAGCACAGTTCTTTGATTCCAGGTGGACATATCTGAAATCTGATACCCGTGACACAAATAGTTTGGGCATCTTCCTACAAAGGAACATAAAATCAAGATAAGGAAAGAAAACAGCACAGAATTTTTTTCTCAGTCAAAATGTGATTACAAATATTTCACAGTAATGAATAAACATATGTATCTATTTAAACAATCAGAGTTCAAAATTTTATATATAAAAGATAATGATTCCTTAACCAAAATGCTTGGATCCAGAAGTCTATTGATTTTTTTTTTAAAAAAATTGGAATACCTATGGTGTATTTGCATATAAGTATACAAAGAGATATTCTGCAAATGGGACTAATCTAAAAACAAATTTCATTTAAGCTTCATGTACGTTTTATATACAAAGTTTGAAGGTAATTTTATACTCAAAATTTGTAATAATTTTGTGCATGAAATAAAGCTTTCTAAACCACCAGAAACCAAAAGGGTCTTTATCCCAGTCATTCATGTGAACAATTTTGAAGGTTTTTGGAATTCTGGATAAGAGATATTCAGCCTGTATTATGTATTTTGTCGCTAAAGCAAAGCTTATCTGGGAAGGAAAGAAAAACCTTATTCTCAAAATGGAACCCTGCTTACAGAAAACAAAAATGGAGGAAATTTCCCAAATGGTTTAGAAAGTTGTCTGGGAGTTTGAGGAAAAATGGATAAATATATTAACATACCGAAAATACCAAGGCATGGAAAATACCCTCAATCCTGCTTTCAATGAATAAATGTGGATTTTGGGGGCTGAAAGACCCCAGGATTCAGAATTGTGATCACTGAGAAGCAGTGAACAAAGACAACAACTGGAACAATAAAAAAAAGAAAGGCCATCACCACCATGATTATGAGAATAGGATAGGCAGAAAAAAGGGCAGCAACAATGCTTGAGAAGAATCCAAATAGTGGCCGGAATAGCTGGAGAGAGCATGAAAAAAGAAATAACGTGATACCTGGCCTCTTGGTAAAGAAGATGACATGAATGGCATGTAGATGCCTTTCATCTCTGTGCCTTTTTAAAGTACCGACTAAAGCCATCAGGAACATGATGATTTAGAAAGTTGACAAAAGCTGGCGTCAGAAAGATAATTCTTCCTGAGAATAACAACCTGTTTTAACTTCATGTGGGATTATCTTTACAGAACTGACTATTTTCTTAGACCGTTACTACAATAAGCTATTGTTCAAACCACATTGTGGTGTGTTCTGTAAAACTAAGACATGAGATATTTTTCATTATGTTTACGTATCTCTCTATAAAGAACAAAGAGAATTTTTTTTGTCTAATTTTAGGTTCTGGAATACTTTTTCTACATTTTCTGAATCCACTTGCTGCATTCCTTGATAATGAAAAAAAAAGTCATCTTACGTGTTTCCATATTTCTGTTTCTATATTTGCCCCTCAATTCAAATAAATACAAATCTTTTTATATACGTAAAAACTTTATTATGATATACCTGCCAAATTGTTTTCAGATCTGACTTATCCAGATCATTCCCAGAAATTCCCAATGAAGTAACACAAGATGATGTCAGGTTTTGAACGTGATTTCCATGCTGATCTGTAATCATTACCTCTTAAAAAATGAAAATTTAAACATTCTGAGTGCATACCTTGTAAAATAAAATTAAAATATAACATTATAGCAAAGGACCAGAGTTGGGCTCTACTCCCCCACAATACATTGCACTTCTGACTCTGTAGTTTCACATCAAAAGAATGCACACAGAAGCATGAAAAAGTGAGAGGATATTGATACTGTAACGGCTAAAGAAATAAGTAAGGTGCAACCTCCCATAGGTTCAGAATTCCTACCATCATTTATGTCCGATACGTTCTATAGATTACAGCATTGCACTTGTATTGAACATGAATCACACCCATAACCCTTTTTGGCATTACAGTGTTCTCTCACTTATCATGGGGGTTACGTTCCAGGACCACCCATGATAAGTGAAACACCATGAAAAAGGGAGGAGGAGGAGGAGGAGGAGGGGAGGGGGAGCCAGGCGCTGAGACTTACCCTAGGGCTTGTCTCCAGGCTGGGCCTCCACTGCTCCCTGCTCCTTCCTTGGAGGCTCCTTGGGCGCTGAGGCCCAGCCGGGAGACTGCCACACTGGGTTTGAGGCCTGGTCTTCCCTCTTCATTGGCGGCCTCCTGGGCCGGGCCTCGGTGCGGCCTCTCTTGGGACCGAGCCGGGAGCCCTTTCCCATGCTGCCAACCCCTTGGAAGGCCCTCCCCAGCCGGCCTCCTGGGGCGCCTCCTTGGGCAGTGACATGTCAAGGCCGTCGGCCCAGAAGAGCAGTGGCACATCATCGGCTTGCTCACCCATGGCCAGCTATAGCACTCAGTGAGGAGGGTGGTGCTTGGRCGGGGTGAAGGACAACGACGCCACTCCTCCCTCCTTGGCAAAGGCCTCCCGGAGACAAGCCCCAAGCCTCCGAGGAAGAGGAGGAGGAAAGCCAGGCGCTAACCCCCCACCCCCCGCACCTCTCCCTGAAAAGAGCCCCCTCTTACCACTCCCTTTCACAGGTTACCGTCCTTCAGCATCAGGTTGGGGAGGGGACACAAAGGCTGAGGGGAGAGGGAGGGGAAAAACATGGCAACAGCATTGCAGATGAAGGGCAGCAGGGGAAGGGCCTGAACAAACCGCCCATTTAGCGGCAACACGGCAGCTGGTGATGATGGTGGTGTGGGCTGACGGTGGGATGGTTGGGTGTGTGTGTGTGTGGGGGGGGGGGAAGGAAGTGTGCATGCGATGGTGTGCAAGTGATTGATAGGCGGAAAGAGGATGGATGCGTGTGAGAGAGGGAGTGTTGGAGTTCAGCCTGTGATTGTGTTTAAGGATCAAGGTGCTTTGGATGTGGGGAATTATGACAATGAGGTTCATGTGGGTAATGGTGTTTCCAATGATATTTGTGCAGAGAATGACCAGGAGATCCCTGTTAAAAATGTATTTTCTCATGAGAATGTTCCTGAAGGGTGTGGCGATGATGGTGTGCTCCCTGAATTGCTACCAGAGAATTCCCATAGTTTAGAGCCTGAGAATAGCTTGAGACCTGGCCCAGCTGCAGAAATTAATGAGCAAATAGATATATGGGATGTTATTAATCAGAACAGAAAAATAGACCAGCCGCTTAGGTGTTCTGCCAGGGTCAAAGAAAGAATGATAAGGGATTCAAGGCTAAAATGAAACCCATTTCTGGCCGCTTGGGACATAGCACAATGAGGAGATAAAAGTCCCAAGTACAGGATCTGTAGTCAGATGAAGCATTGTTTAGAATCAAGTCAAGATCTCGTTCCTGTTCCTTGGAAGCCTTGCTTTGGAAAGATTCATGTGCTAAGTGTCTTTGATTCATGTTTTTAATTCTTGGATTTTATGATTATGTGCCAAGTCCCTTGGATTCATGTCTCCAGTTTTATTGGATTTTACTATAGAAGTTTCTGCCTTTGTTTTTCATGAACTTTGATGGACAAACTTCCTGGACTATTTGTTCCGGCTTATCTTCCTACTTAATCGGATTTACCTATTCCTTTAAAGTCAGAGGGCTTTTCCTGGTCTGGAGTGCAACAGGGAGGGCGGGAAGGAAGGAAGGAGGGAAGGGAGAGAAAAAGAGAAGGGAGCGTGTCTGCCTGCCTGTGGCACATTGGGCTCCTTTCCTCTACCACTTGGCGCCTTCGTGCTCGCCCCGTTTTAGCCTCTGCACCCGTCACAGGTGCCTCTTTGAAAGAGGGAGTGGTGAGCCCGTGGCATGGGGCCGGGTGATGTGTTGGAAGGAATGTGTTGCTGCCGTCTGGCTCCGGGAGCTGATGGGGCACCCTCCTCTTCTCCTCCCCATGCCGACAGAGCCTTTCCCTACTTCTCTCACCAGGAAGCAGCAGCAGAGCCGTGGGGACCGTCATGCCTCCTCGTCCCTGGGAGCCATGCCGACCGCCACCAGAGCCCTTCCCACCTCTAGAGTGCCCAGAAGACCTCTCTCTCCCCCTCTCGTCGCCTAGTTAGATGCAGATGCCATCGCTGTATTCGCACCTCCTCCTTCTCCTCCCTCCCCTGCAGCTCGGGGGGAGGGGGGGGGAGGAAAAACCTGTGAAATAGCGAGTCCGCAATAAGTGAACCACGAAGTAGCGGGAGAACACTGTAAATAGAGATAATATCTGTTTACATCTCTAGACAACATGGGTACAGACAAGATGGCTCTCACAAACCCTTCAAATTTTATTTCTCTGTCATAAACACATCTCACAATGTTTATTTATTTATTTATTATTTTAATATTTATAATATTTAATTAATATTTTAATATTTATGTTTATGGAGTTGTATTTCCAGGCAAGTGAGCACAGCACCTTAATTATCAAAGGGTATCTTATGTATCTTAGCTCTAAAGGCTTCTATAGCCTTAAAATATCTTAAATCTTGGTAAGCACAATCTTAAAGTCAGCAAACCAAAGATTTTCTTCTTCATTCCTTAGTTACATTTATATCTTGCCTTTACTCCAAAGTAGCCTAGCCTTCCTATCCTCCCTCAAAACAACCATGGGTGCACCTACACTGTAGAATGACTGCTGTTTGACACCACTTTAACTGCCATGGCTGAATGCTATAGAATCCTAGGAGTTATCATTTGCTGAGGCACCAGCACACTGTGGAAGATGAGGCTAAAGACCTCATAAAACTGCAGCTGCCCTGATTCCATAGCACTGAATCACAGCAATTGAAGTGGCGTCAAACTTATTTTACAGTGTAGATGCACCTCCTGGGAGAACATGGCCAAGGCTACCCAATGATGATCTTGACCAAGCAAACCTGGATTTGCCAATCCTGACCTGACATTCTAACCACAACATCTCAAAACATAAGGTCACAGAACTAAGTATTCAACTTAAAAAAGGAAAATAATGTATCAATGATTCCACATCAAAGTTTGTGCACATGCACCTGTTGTTCTGGTCAAACAAGAGTCCACTCCTTTTCAAACAGTTTGTTTACCATACAGTGCCTTGTCATACAACACATTGTGAAAAAATACTACTATGAATATCAAAAATATGTCAGTTCACTTCCAAAAGCATGCAGTAATATGGTTGATGAGAACTGATAACAATTATATATACAATGGCTACACAAAATTAGTTTGTAGGAAGCCTGCTCAGACATGACCCACCAGCACTAATGTCTTAAAAACATAGCTGTCATGAGGATCTACAATACTATTGACTTTCCATAAGCACTAAATTATGAACTATAGTAAAAGCAACATAATTCATTCTAAGCTATATCGACATTTTCCCAAGACTTTTGCGGTGAATAAGGAAAGACAGTAGAATTAGAAACCTTTCCATTTATTGACTATACACTGTTGCTATAGCTTAGAAGCCACTCTGTGTTCCATCCAAGATATGAATATTATACAGAACTGGAAGCCACAATACAAAATATTAAGTTACTTAGGTATGAATAATACATTTATTTAGTGCTTAAGTAAACACATTTATGTTTCCAGAAATCTATATAAACTGGAGTTTAATTCTACGGTGATAGTCATATCTTTCAAAATTTTATAATATACTTTAAACACCAATATAAAATAGGTATAATATCAAAAAGTGCATAAAATGATTGACTTTTTGACAAAAGTATGTCAAATGTACAGTGGGGAAAAAGTATTTAGTCAGATAATACTTATTTTCCACTATAATTTGCAAATAAATTTGATAAGAATTAGACAATGTGATTTTATGGATGTGTTTTCTCATGTTGTCTCTCATAGTTGAAGTCTACCAATGATGTCAATTACAGGCTTCTCTCATCTTTTTAAGTGGGAGAACTTGTACAATTGGTATCTGACTAAATACCCCCCCCCCCCACACACATGTTAAGATAGATGAGCATGGAGGATCAACAGATGGAAGGAAACGAAAGATGGAAAAACAAGGAAACAATCAAACCTACAGATTCACCCCTTCCTAATTGCAATTACTTACCTATTTGACCTTGTAATGTTTCACACATTTGTAATTTATCTGAGCCTTTGATTGTGCATTTTATATGCTTTGGTTCATCAGCATGTGGTCTAAAAGAAACAGTAAGTTCTTAATAGATATCCACCTCAGAGTAATCAGACCATCTGCTAACATTCAACAAAGCAGTGAACACTGTATTCATTCAACTCACTTAAAAATATAATTCATTAGCCAATATGAGATATGAAAGTGTAAAACACATCCCCAGAATATATTGACTGAGAATATAGTAAGATTATATGAAAGATTGGTGTTACAATACCAACAATCTTCTATATAAGGACAATATATGGGTATGTGGTATTGATGTCTTAAACAGTTTAAGACCTAGTAATTTTATTAGACCATTTAGACAGACTTTTCTTGCAGCAGGCTAAACTCAGCTGTCACAGGTGTTCTTCATCATGTGAGAGACAACTGTGCTGAGGGATCATGACTGGAGAACTTAACAGTCCCAACCTACTTACTCCCTCCACCATGTTGCTGCTTCTGACCTTTTTGAATGACTGGGCTTGAAATTGTTGGTGGTAACAAATCTTAGATGCTTCCCCTCAAAGGCACTTCAAGAATGTAGAGGGGGAAAGTCAGTGGTTTTTTAGGTTCTCCTGGGAGGGACCATAAAAAAAAGTCCCCTTATCTGAGTAGAGTGACAAGTATATGGTGCAGCAAAAGGCTATGTGCGCACAGCTGTGAGATATGAAAACCATATGGGTATGTGGTTTTAGGCTGAGCTGAGTGTCATTAAATGCAGACAAGGTTCCCTCTGAATAGCTACTGAAAGTAACCTTCAGTTCATTCTTTGATGATCAACCTGACCTTGCTGTTTTTATCTTGGGATTTATGACCTGGGACTGCTCATCAACTTTTCTATTTGATCTTTGTTCTGATTTAGAGTTTCTTGACTTTGGACTTGTTATTTGTCAATCATCTTCACTATCATAAAAAGAGACCCAAAATAAACAGTATAGCAAGCTGTGCCACTCCCTCCCACAACCGCTGGAAAATTCAAGTTATTATTTTGTTTTGTAATCATAGCTTGCTGTATTGTTTGCATTCAGAACCGTGGCTAAATTCAACCATGGATAATTTAAACAAAATGATCTTCAGTAAACAGAATTTGAAGTTGGTTTTCTTAAAAACAACTAACCATAGTTAGTGTTGGTCCGCACAACATCGTAAGCTATTTTAAAGCAAAAACATCTACACTTTTCCTCTCTCCCATGGAAGACCTGAATGTAAATCCTTGCAGCTCATTGTCACTTGTTTTTGCTTGTTAAACCAACTATAGCATGATGTACAAACAGCTATTATGTTCTGCAATATACCTACTTAAATAAGTTAATGTATTATATATGCTGTATTAAGGATTTACCTACTTAAAATGTTTAAATGACATGACAATTAAAAACGCCTTTGTCTGCTATAATCAGGAGAAACAGCTGTTGAACAATTTAAACAAACTAAACAAAAACCAATAACATTTGAATAAAAATTACAAACCTGACCGTAAAACCACTTCCCAGTGATACATGTTCATCATGGAATGTCACCTGGTAATAGTGCGGCTCTTTTACAGACATTGGCACTTTCACATCAGGTAAGAAACCATTAAGTAATTGTTCTCGATTAATTGTTGGAGTCCAGTTTACCTAAGAAATAAAATATTTTCAATTGTGACAAGTGCAATTGAAAGTAACTTCTTCTATCCACTGCCATTTGATCTATTAAAGGGGGGCAAAGGACCTCTTTAAAAATACTTGCTGGAAATTACGTTAATGATGTATTTCGATTGCAGATTTCTAGTTTAACGTGAATAAATAGGTTTTATTGGTATCACCTTCTAGAAGTAGAGACCAATACAGAACCTTTTCAAGTACACTGCTGTACAGAAGTTGATTGTAAATGATAAGATTATAACTGTATTGGTGTTTGCACTGGTTGCCCTAATGCT